TATATTTTCAGAAGCTGATAGTATTGGTGGTAACATCCAGAAATTCAACTTTATACATAAAATATGAACTTCCACTGTTATTAATGTGTAAATGAACTGCAACACTCCATCGTTCCACAAGGTGGAGCTGTGACAGAAACAGAAATATCTAATTATGTCTCATAAATGTGTTCAGAATATGTAATAAAGTCCAGGTGGAGGAGGTCAGACAGTGTGACAGTGGAGCTGATCTCAGAGCAGTTCAGACTGCAGCACTGAGAGTCGTCTCCACTGGTTGTGATTCCTCTGTCAGTCACTGCTGGATGAAGCTCTCCTCTCCACTCTACCTCCCAGTAACATGGCCCAGTCAGAGCTGATGCTGCTGCTTCAACCTCTCTGGATCATCAGGACACAGCGGATCCTCCAACACAACCTCCTTCCTCACCACTCACTGTTAATGAGATCACTTCCATCTGAGGAGAGAAGGAGACAGAGGACAGCAGAGATAAATCAGTGTTTACAGAGACTCCCTCCATCAGCACATCCAGTATAAAGAGCAGCAGGGACTGAACACATCATTACTGCAGAAACAGAGAGACATTCACTGCCCACTGGAATGATGCATTTACTGCTGTTAGGGTTCAAAGCTGATAAAAACCACAGTCTCAGTCACATTTGAATGTTTCATCTGAAATCTTACAGGACAAATGTGTAAATATTCAAACTATTTGGACAAACAAGAGACAAGTGGACAGATATATATCTGATGTTAAAGGTCCTACATGTTCATACAAAGACTGAACAGCCACACATCAGCTGTGGGTACTGGACTCCAGCAGAGGTCCTGGTCTGTACAAAGACCACATGGTCACTAAATGTAATTATGCTTGTTTGCAGACTGATCTCAGAGCTGTGACAAAGACCAACTGATCAGTTGTTTAGTGTAAAATGAGAGAACAAACAGTGTGAGATCAGACTGGATGAATGAGGACCACTGTCTCTATACATCTTGTAATGCTGTCAGCTGGAATCCAGCTTTATTTCCTGAACACATGAACACAACAACAACAGTCGACTTCAAATCAACTCAAACACATGATCACAGCAAGCTTCTGGCTCTCTGATTGGTTGACTGTTCTCTCTCTGTCTGTCTGTCTGTCTGTCTGTCTGTCTGTCTGTCTGTCTGTCTGTCTGTCTGTCTGTCTGTCCGTCCGTCCGTCTGTGGTCTGTGGTCCGTCCGTCACTGAGGAAAGCAGCAAATACTGGATCTGTGTTTAGTCCAAGACTGCTGGAACCAGCATGGACTGACTCAGACCCTCTACTGACCTCAGAGTCTCCAGTCTACAGTGTGGACTCTCCAGAAAACCACACAGCAGCTTCACTGTTGAATCCTTCAGATTGTTCTTACTCAGGTCCAGCTCTCTCAGATGGGAGGGGTTGGACTTCAGAGCTGAGACCAGAGAAGAACAGCTGATCTCTGACAAACTGCAGTGCCACAATCTGAATAAAGAATAAAAGATGTGAGTTTATAATTAAACAGTTGAGTCAGTATAAACATTGTACAGCTTCACAGAAATGTTGGAAAAGAAATACTGAATATATTTGTTACTGTCTGATAGTTGGAATTTTGATTATTTTATTGTGTGTTGTGGTTTTCTTGTCTCAATGCACCTCAATTGATGTCTATCTGACAAAAATTTACTTTCCTTATTGTTATTATCATTTATTAAAAAAGCTGATATTGAATGGACCAGTGTGGTTCTCTGATTTCTGGTCTGGTGCCACAATGTTTGAAATTTGATCTGGAATCTCCAAGCTGTATTTTATCTTGAAAATTGACCTCTGTGCTGTCTCACTTCCTGTCAGTTTGATCTGTTCAGGGCTTGAAGCCAAACAGATGTAGTGGCTGAACTGTGTAATTAAAGCTATGGCGTGTGTCATGTGACGCAAACTGACCAAACAGACTTTTCCTCAGAAGGTCACATTGTGAAAGAAGCGGCTGTAAAACAGTGGATATGTTGTTTTTAAGCATCAACACCCCCTCGTTTCACTGTCACAGTTTGATCCATTCAGTCTGTTAACATTTTTAAAGTCTAGAAGAGTCGGAAGATTAAATAATTTTATCTCCATTCGTGGTTAAATAATTAAGTATGTACAATATGCTTTCATGGATCTGAATGATTCTGCTGCATACAGTGATATTTGAGGTAGTTGTTATGCACATGTACAATTAATTCAGTTCAATTCATAATAATTTCTTTATCAGCTCTGTGATTTGGATCCGCTCCAAAGTTTATTGGGTTCTTCCTTAGCCAACGCTACACTCTCCCAACAAGTTTCATGACAATCAGACCAGTAGTTTTTCTATAATCCTGCTGACAGACAAACCCTCAAACTGCATGGAAAGCATATCCTCCATGTCGGAGGTAAAAATGGTGTCTGACCTCAGAGTCTCCAGTCTACAGTGTGGACTCTCCAGAAAACCACACAGCAGCTTCACTCCTGAATCCTTCAGCTTGTTGTTACTCAGGTCCAGCTCTCTCAGATGGGAGGGGTTGGACTTCAGAGCTGAGACCAGAGAAGAACAGCTGATCTCTGACAAACTGCAGCCCCTCAATCTGAATAAAGAATAAAAGATGTGAGTTTAGAAGACAATGTTCCTGCTTGACTCCTCATGCCTGCCAGCTCAGTCCCTGACACCCTCACTGTAGTTTCATAATGAACTACAAATATTTCTACACTTCTCTCTAGCATTGTGTTTTATGCCGTTGCTTCAGCAAAGAATCTCTCACTCACAGTACAAATATCTTTGATTGATGATGTAGTGGACAACCTGCCTCACTGTGTCCCTCCTGTACAGACAGACAGACAGACAGACATGCAGACAGACACTCTCTGGAGCAGATAGAGTTTGTTTGACAAGCACAGACCAGGTAAAGTAACAGTGAACGGCAGTGAACTCATCGCTTGGAGTCAATGTCACTGGTAACTAGAGGTGTTGAAATTAATCAAATAATCGATGCATCGCGATGCAGACATGGCCATCGATGCAGTGGCCGACCATAACCGATTATAACACAATGATGTCGCTCGTTAATTTTCTGGCCGCGGCATAAACATTCAAATGAAAAATAACATTTTCAGTAGCCTAACCCGTTTCATCTAGACCAGTACTTCTCAAATAGTGGGGCGCGACAGGCAGGGGGGACTGACGGGGTTGACGTCAGAGGCAAGAACAGCAAGTGACGGTAACCGGCATAAACGTATTAAGACCAGGAAATACGACGAAGCCTACATAGCCTTTGGGTTTACCGTGAATACGGTCGGAAATGAGGAGAAACCTGTGTGTGTTTAATTTTTAAACTCTGGCAGCGGACAGCATGAAACCAAACAAATTAAGGCAGCACCTGGAGACCTTACACCCCAGTTATGTCAATAAGCCACTGGACTTTTTTCATCGGAAGCTCGATGAGTATCTCCAACAGGCCGGTCGTTTAGTGAGCGCAGCTTCACTAAATAAAAACGCACCGTTAGCCTCGTACAAACACCGCCACATCGCAAGGTGCAAAAAACCATCACACAATAGCAGAGGAGCTAATACTCGGCAGCATTGGACATGGTCACAATCATAGGTGAGAAAAGTGCTGAGACACTGAATACTGTCCCTCTGTCCAATGACACGATCGGGAGACGTGTGTGTGTGTGTGTGTGTGTGTGTGTTGTCTGCTGTGTTCAGACTGTTAAATAAAAAAGATTGTTTATATCTTACTACTTGTATTTTTGGATGAAAACAACCATATGAAGTAATATAGAAAACTGTATTATATTGAACTATACAGTATATTAATGCATTCGGTCAAGTCAAATATCCTATATGGCTTTAATAGAAAAATGTATTTGAAGCATCGTGATGCATCGAGGAATCGAATCGAATCGCTGACATTATAATCGTAATCGAATCGAATCGGGAGATCAGTGACAATTCACACCTCTACTGGTAACCTCGCTGTTTTCCATCATTATGATTGGTTCCCTCATTAACAACGAGCCTCCTTCACATGCGGCTCACCTGCTGTTATTAAAACGCAATCTCAGGTGGTTTTTGGGCGACTTTATAAAAGTTACAGCTGAAGAAAGTCAACAGAGACACAAACAGAGACAGAAAGAGGCGGGGCAGGCTGGTGTGTGTGGAAAACAGTAACATTACTGAAGAGAAAAGCAAGGTGATTAAAGTATTCAGTTAAGTAATGAAATAAGTCAATAACAAAAGATATACAACTAATCAGGTGTAATTTAACCGAGTCTTTCAGATACTTCGAATAAATAAAGTAACCCCCACCCACCCCTGTCACCCTCCACACCATATATAAACTATCATCCTGTGGGAGACACTGACCACTCTTTGTGACTGCACATTAACTTCAGTTCAACTAACAAAAGAGGAACAAAAGGACATTTAAACTTTATGGATATAAGTTATGTACAAACATGAATTAGGTTTAATCGTTAATGAAAGATATCAGATCTACAACAGTAACAGAGTCAGTGAACTGACCTCAGAGTCTCCAGTCTACAGTGTGGACTCTCCAGAAAACCACACAGCAGCTTCACTCCTGAATCCTTCAGGTTGTTGTTACTCAGGTCCACCTCTCTCAGATGGGAGGGGTTGGACTTCAGAGCTGAGACCAGAGAAGAACAGCTGATCTCTGACAACCAACAGCCCCACAATCTGAATAAAGAATAAAAGATGTGAGTTTAGAAGACAATGTTCCTGCTTGAAATCATTCAGTGTTTAATAATCTGTTCAGAGCTGAAGAAGGTTTACAATGTACAAGTTTAGAAAATGGAAACTCCAAACACCTGAACCCAACAGGATGCAGGTTGCAAACTGTAAAATACAAAGAGTTAAAAAGAGCTCTCATTAATATTAATGACAACGTGCTGCTGCTTCAATAAAGACGTAGTGACTTCAGCTCTTAACCTCTGCAGCTCCACCAGTGGCTCCATCTATACAAACTCATGTTGAGCAGCCAAACACAAAGAAAAAGCCACAGAAACTGATTGAAGGTTCCACTCAAGATCCTAAAGTTTCCTGTTGTCTCTTCTATTGGTTGTTTCAAAAGTCAAAGTCAGCTTTAATGTCAATTCTTCACATGCAGACATACAAGGAATCAAGAGGACGTTTTTCATTCACTGACGGTGAAACAGATAAAGTGCACAGGCACAACAGATAAGATCAGACATTTCCTAATACTAAAATTTAAACATTCAATTTCACAACAGACAATAAAATATAAAATATACAATAATATAAAATATACAATACTTATGGTAGTGCAAAAAGGCAGATGGTAATGGCAGCAGGAAAATTATGTAAGATATATTTGTAACAGTAACAGTGCAAAAGAACAGTCAGTAAAAAACAGTAATTAAATAAACAGCAGCCAATTTTAATCTATGCAGAATGTGGTGATAGTAATGGTAATACTAATAATAATAGTAGTGCAGGAAACAGTTTGTCCAGAGTCTGGAGTGATTTTTTTTTTTTTGGGGGGGTTCAGCTTCCTGGCAGCCTGGAGGATGTGGCTGGGGGAGAGAGGGTACTATTATTATTAGTATTACCATTACTATCACCACATTCTGCATAGATTAAAATTGGCTGCAATTTATTTATTTACTGTTTTTTACTGACTGTTCTTTTGCACTGTTACTGTTACAAATATATCTTACATAATCTTTCTGCTGCCATTACCATCTGCCTTTTTGCCTTAAGTGCAGACATAAGGCTGATATTATACTGATCCACACTGAGTATCTCAGTAAGTGTCTGGCCGTATCCCCTTTGTCTAAATGTTCAGATATTTCTTCAGCTTTCATTAGATAATCCTGTTCTTCACTACATATTCTCACAAACTGACCATATGGGATGTTACTTGCAGAGGGGATATTATTGAAAATGTATCTGTCTTCCCACAAACCCATGAACAAGCTGGCATAGTTAGGGGTGAAAGGTGAACCCATACTCATCACCTGAGGCTGCAGGTAATACTTGCTATCAAACATAAAGTAATTAGATTTTAGGATGAACTTAGTAACATGACATTAGCAGTTCCACTGAGAGAGCAGCTCTCCTGGGTACAACATAAAAGTCCATAACTTCTAATCCACCATTATTTGGGATGCTGGTGTACAAACTCTCCACATCAAAAGATCCCAAAAAGGAGTTGTCAGGCAGAGAGAGGTCAGCCACCAATTTCAGAACATCTCTAGTGTCTTCTATCTCTCTCTACAGGTAATTTGGACCCTCAGAGAGAGATCAGACACTCGGTCTCCTGGTCTTCCCTATTTAGTGGTGTAGAGGGACAGTGGTAGGACCTCCAGGATATTTCAGCTGTACATTTACATTAGTTTTCTTCTTGTTGTATGTAATGTGGTGTAATTCTTGTGGTTCTGTTAGATTAATCGTGCTGTTTTTAAATGTATCTTGCTTTATCTTTTGCAATATGTATTTTTGTATTTAATGTTTGTGCGATACTCTCACCGTTGTAAAATATATAAACACTTTGAAATGAGAAAAGGACAAAAATTAAGACTGTGACAGCACGTGACTGGTCATGTGACCCAGATGCAGCATAGTTGTCACACCTGTGAGTGCTCATGGAAATTACCTGAGTGAACCTGAGGAAGCTTCAAGTGAAACACGTTGTTCGCTCTTTAATAAATTCACTCCAGTGGTTAATTCAGATGTTTTACTTCATGGTTCTGCAACCGACCAGCTGACTGTTGTTGGCAGTGCATGGGGAGTTTACGTCTGAATATAGTTGTTACTGTCTGATAGTTGAAATAGAGATTATTTATTTATTGTCATCATTTATTTTAAAACCATGATGTGGAATATCAGATTAAATCCAGAGCTGAAGAGGTTCACAGTGAATTATTCAGTGTAGATTCTTCTTGTTATATGAAGGTTTTAAATGTGGAGCTCAACATTGCTCTGCCACAGTCAATGGACTAAACCACTGAAGAAGAAAACAGCCTTTAGCATTAAGATACTCAGTGTGGATCAGTATAATATCAGCCTTATGTCTGCACTTTACTGTCAGCACAACTTTCACATCACATTCATCTCAGCACAGAAATAAAACATGGTGTCTGACCTCAGAGTCTCCAGTCTACAGTGTGGACTCTCCAGAAAACCACACAGCAGCTTCACTCCTGAATCCTGCAGGTTGTCGTTGTAACTCAGGTCCAGCTCTCTCAGATGGGAGGGGTTGGACTTCAGAGCTGAGACCAGAGAAGAACAGCTGATCTCTGACAAACTGCAGCCACACAATCTGAATAAAGAATAAAAGATGTGAGTTTAGAAGACAATGTTCCTGCTTGAAATCATTCAGTGTTTAATAATCTGTTCAGAGCTGAAGAAGGTTTACAATGTACAAGTTTAGAAAATGGAAACTCCAAACACCTGAACCCAACAGGATGCAGGTTGCAAACTGTAAAATACAAAGAGTGAAAAAGAGCTCTCATTAATATTAATGACAACGTGCTGCTGCTTCAATAAAGACGTAGTGACTTCAGCTCTTAACCTCTGCAGCTCCACCAGTGGCTCCATCTATACAAACTCATGTTGTGCAGCCAAACACAAAGAAAAACCCACAGAAACTGATTGAAGGTTCCACTCAAGATCCTAAAGTTTCCTGTTGTCTCTTCTGTTGGTTGTTTCAAAAGTCAAAGTCAGCTTTAATGTCAATTCTTCACATGCAGACATACAAGGAATCGAGAGGACGTTTCTCATTCACTGACGGTGAAACAGATAAAGTGCACAGGCACAACAGATAAGATCAGACATTTCCTAATACTAAAATTTAAACATTCAATTTCACAACAGACAATAAAATATAAAATATACAATAATATACAATATACAATACTTATGGTAGTGCAAAAAGGCAGATGGTAATGGCAGCAGGAAAATTATGTAAGATATATTTGTAACAGTAACAGTGCAAAAGAACAGTCAGTAAAAAACAGCAATTAAATAAACAGCAGCCAATTTTAATCTATGCAGAATGTGGTGATAGTAATGGTAATACTAATAATAATAGTAGTGCAGGAAACAGTTTGTCCAGAGTCTGGAGTGATTTTTTTTGGGGGGGGGGTTCAGCTTCCTGGCAGCCTGGAGGATGTGGCTGGGGGAGAGAGGGTACTATTATTATTAGTATTACCATTACTATCACCACATTCTGCATAGATTAAAATTGTCTGCAATTTATTTATTTACTGTTTTTTACTGACTGTTCTTTTGCACTGTTACTGTTACAAATATATCTTATATAATCTTTCTGCTGCCATTACCTTCTGCCTTTTTGCCTTAAGTGCAGACATAAGGCTGATATTATACTGATCCACACTGAGTATCTCAGTAAGTGTCTGGCCGTATCCCCTTTGTCTAAATGTTCAGACATTTCTTCAGCTTTTATTAGATAATCCTGTTCTTCACTACATATTCTCACAAACTGACCATATGGGATGTTACTTGCAGAGGGGATATTATTGAAAATGTATCTGTCTTCCCACAAACCCATGAACAAGCTGGCATAGTTAGGGGTGAAAGGTGAACCCATACTCATCCCCTGAGGCTGCAGGTAATACTTGCTATCAAACATAAAGTAATTAGATTTTAGGATGAACTTAGTAACATGACATTAGCAGTTCCACTGAGAGAGCAGCTCTCCTGGGTACAACATAAAAGTCCATAACTTCTAATCCACCATTATTTGGGATGTTGGTGTACAAACTCTCCACATCAAAAGATCCCAAAAAGGAGTTGTCAGGCAGAGAGAGGTCAGCCACCAATTTCAGAACATCTCTAGTGTCTTCTATCTCTCTCTACAGGTAATTTGGACCCTCAGAGAGAGATCAGACACTCGGTCTCCTGGTCTTCCCTATTTAGTGGTGTAGAGGGACAGTGGTAGGACCTCCAGGATATTTCAGCTGTACATTTACATTAGTTTTCCTCTTGTTGTATGTAATGTGGTGTAATTCTTGTGGTTCTGTTAGATTAATTGTACTGTTTTTAAATGTATCTTGCTTTATCTTTTGCAATATGTATTTTTGTATTTAATGTTTGTGCGATACTCTCACCGTTGTAAAATATATAAACACTTTTAAATGAGAAAAGGACAAAAATTAAGACTGTGACAGCACGTGACTGGTCATGTGACCCAGATGCAGCATAGTTGTCACACCTGTGAGTGCTCATGGAAATTACCTGAGTGAACCTGAGGAAACTTCAACTGAAACACGTTGTTCGCTCTTTAATAAATTCACTCCAGTGGTTTATTCAGATGTTTTACTTCATGGTTCTGCAACCGACCAGCTGACTGTTGTTGGCAGTGCATGGGGAGTTTACATCTGAATATAGTTGTTACTGTCTGATAGTTGAAATAGAGATTATTTATTTATTGTCATCATTTATTTTAAAACCATGATGTTAATATCAGATTAAATCCAGAGCTGAAGAGGTTCACAGTGAATTATTCAGTGTAGATTCTTCTTGTTATATGAAGGTTTTAAATGTGGAGCTCAACATTGCTCTGCCACAGTCAATGGACTAAACCACTGAAGAAGAAAACAGCTTTTAGCATTAAGATACTCAGTGTGGATCAGTATAATATCAGCCTTATGTCTGCACTTTACTGTCAGCACAACTTTCACATCACATTCATCTCAGCACAGAAATAAAACATGGTGTCTGACCTCAGAGTCTCCAGTCTACAGTGTGGACTCTCCAGAAAACCACACAGCAGCTTCACTCCTGAATCCTTCAGCTCGTTTCCACTCAGGTCCAGCTCTCTCAGATGGGAGGGGTTGGACTTCAGAGCTGAGACCAGAGAAGAACAGCTGATCTCTGACAACCAGCAGTCCCTCAATCTGAATAAAGAATAAAAGATGTGAGTTTAGAAGACAATGTTCCTGCTTGAAATCATTCAGTGTTTAATAATCTGTTCAGAGCTGAAGAAGGTTTACAATGTACAAGTTTAGAAAATGGAAACTCCAAACACCTGAACCCAACAGGATGCAGGTTGCAAACTGTAAAATACAAAGAGTTAAAAAGAGCTCTCATTAATATTAATGACAACGTGCTGCTGCTTCAATAAAGACGTAGGGACTTCAGCTCTTAACCTCTGCCAGCTCCACCAGTGGCTCCATCTATACAAACTCATGTTGTGCAGCCAAACACAAAAACCACAAAACCAGAGTTAAGTAATGAAATAGGTCAACAACAAAAGATATACAACTAATAAGGTGTAATGTTACAAAGTCTTTTAAGATAGTTTCAATAGATAAACTAACCCCCACCCACCCCCGTCACCCTCCACACCATATATAAACTATCATCCTGTGGGAGACACTGACAACTCTTTGTGACTGCACATTAAGTTTAGTTCAATTTACAAAAGAGGAACAAAAAGACATTTAAACTTTATGGATATAAGTTATGTACGAACATAAATTAGGTTCAATTGTTAATGAAAGATATCAGATCTACAACAGTGACAGAGAGTCAGTGAACTGACCTCAGAGTCTCCAGTCTACAGTGTGGACTCTCCAGAAAACCACACAGCAGCTTCACTCCTGAATCCTTCAGGTTGTTGTTACTCAGGTCCAGCTCTCTCAGATGGGAGGGGTTGGACTTCAGAGCTGAGACCAGAGAACAACAGCTGATCTCTGACAAACTGCAGAGCCTCAATCTGAATAAAGAATAAAAGATGTGAGTTTAGAAGACAATGTTCCTGCTTGAAATCATTCAGTGTTTAATAATCTGTTCAGAGCTGAAGAAGGTTTACAATGTACAAGTTTAGAAAATGGAAACTCCAAACACCTGAACCCAACAGGATGCAGGTTGCAAACTGTAAAATACAAAGAGTGAAAAAGAGCTCTCATTAATATTAATGACAACGTGCTGCTGCTTCAATAAAGACGTAGTGACTTCAGCTCTTAACCTCTACCAGCTCCACCAGTGGCTCCATCTATACAAACTCATGTTGTGCAGCCAAACACAAAGAAAAACTCATTTACTCAAGATCCCAAAGTTTACAATGATGTCAGAATGAATTTTGGGGAAATGTGAACAAAAGACATCTACAATATTTCTTTTAGTAATAGTGGAGTCATAAAATCAAATCAGCTTCAGTTTAAACTATTCAGTCAGTTTAAGCAAAATGCTGGAAAATAAAATACTGATAATAATTGTTATTGTCTGATAGTTGAAATAGAGATTATTTATTTATTGTCATCATTTATTTCAAAACCCATGATGGGGAATATTAGATGGAAATACAGAGTGAATTATCCAGGAGGAGTCACGTGGGCACGGCGAACAAGATGGCAGCTGATTAGGGATCCGACGGGTAAATTTGTGATGATACCAAAGTATAGGCTCAAGTTATATTACAATACTACCCACGTTGCGAAGAGAAAACAGCTATTTTGGAAAATTGAAATAACCGAAATTAAGCGAAAATGGCCACGTCGAAATATTTCAAAAAGTCCTCCACATGAAGAAGAAGGCCCAACAGGTGACCCCCCTCCCAGTCTCGACTGTCTGTTTACAGAAATTACTAAAATGAGCAGCACACTGCAGAGCATTGCTACAGTCGTCTCAACTATTAATCACAGGCGGGAGGAGCAGTAACTCACGGACCAGATAAGGTTTTATTTTAGTTTTTCATTTTAAAGCTGTACATGTCAGCTTCAGGACTGTCAGACTTTTTCTGGCTTGAATTTAAGTTTTTGCTTTTGGTGGTAGTTTTTCTTTTGCGCATTATGTACTGGAAACGTTCTTTTTCCAGGTTAAATGACAAAATATGAACACTAACAGAGTACAGGGTTTTAAAGAATGATAACACAGAAGGCATAGACATACAGGTGAAGAGTGCTTCAAACAGGAACAGTGAAGTAGAGATGGATATGGAGATATACAAAGATGATTAAGAAATGTATTAAGTACGTGTCATGGAATATTAATTGAAGTGGAAATCCAGTCAAAAGACGCAAGGTATTGTCATATTTAAAACTAATAAGGCAGATATAGTTTTCATACAGAAAACCCACCTTAATGAGGGTGAGGCAGCTAAATTCAAACAGGCTGGGTAAGGCATGTTTTTCACAGCTCACTCTCAAGTTCACGAAACTGAGTTATTTATTTGGTTAACAGGAGGATACATTTTGTGCTGCTTAAAGAGGTTAAAGATACAGAGGGAAGAATGATATGTGTGCAGGCACTAATAGAGGGTATGCAGGTGATATTATGTAATATTTATGCACCTAATAAGGGACACCCACACTTTTTTCATGAAGTGAATAGGGTTCTAGGGGAAATGGATGGGCAAATAAAACTGGCAGGAGACTTTAACCAAGTGATGGACCCTATTTTAGACAAGAGTCAGTTTAAAGGTCCACTGATGACTAAAGACAGGGAAGCAATTCATATGTTAAAAGATGACATGGCGCTTGTGGATGTCTGGAGGCTTACTAACCCTCGGGAGAGGGAGTACACGTTTTTTTTCCCATTGTCATAAGTCACACTCCAGAATTGACTTTTTCTTAATTGCAAGCCCTTTAGTAAACAGTGTAGTTAGTTGCAGTATAAGAACTATTGCTATCACAGATCATGTAGCGGTGGAATTATGTATAGACACAGAATTGGACATGGGTAAGAGGACTAGATGGAGAATAAATAAATTATTATTACAGGACAAAGCTTTAGGACATTGTTGGGAGAGGATTTGAAATATTTTTTTGAATTAAACACTGGCAGCACTAAGGAAATTGCAACAGTTTGGGAGGCCTTTAAAGCATATATAAGAGAGAAATGAATAGCTTGCTCTTCTCAAAACAAAAAAGAGAGCCTAAACAGAATCAAGGAATTAGAAGGTGAAATTAAATTAAAGGAAAAGGATTTAGCGGAACATTTTTCAGAACCACAATATCAGGAAGTTTCAGCTGCATGAAATCTTTAACAAAAAAGTAGAATACTCCTTTTTTATGAAGGTGGGGAAAAAACTGGGAAAATATTAGCTAGACAAGTGAAAGAAAAAGACTCCTCAAATATAATTTCAGCCATCAGACAGGGAGATAAATTAGTAACCTTCAACAATATTACAAGGAACAGTAGACATCATCGGTATCTCGCGATGACAACCAAATAAATTCTTTCTTCTTTAACATTAATATGCCTAAGCTCAACCCTGATCACGCAAGGAAGTTAGAGTCGCCTATAACTGTAGCAGAAATAAGGAAAGCTGTGTCATTAATGAACACTGGGAAATCACCAGGTTATGATGGATTTCCTTTGGAATATTATAAAGAGTACATAGACATTCTTGCCCCAGTCTTGGTGAAGGTGTATCAGGAGGCATTTGAAAAAGGCCACATGCTGCCAACATTTAATGAAGCTTTAATATCTCTGATTCCAAAGAAAGACAGAGACATAACAGACCCATCTCATTTTAGACCTATTAGCCTGCTCAATCTGGATCTTAAAATACTGTGGTGGTGGTGGTGCTGGTGCTACGACTTCAACAAGATTTACCCAACATTATACATCCCAATCAAGCAGGCTTTATGAAGAACAGATCCTCATCGGACAACATGAGGAAATTAATACATCTAACGTGGCTTACCCAGTCCAAAAATGTGCCTATAGCTGCTATTTCCCTGGATGCCGAAAAGGCCTTTGATGAGGTGGAATGGAGCTTTCTCTTTTCCGCTCTGTCACATTTTGGGTTCGTCCCTATTTCTCTCAATGGGTAAAGACATTATATAAAGAACCAAAAGCAGCAGTACCAATGGAGCTATATCACCCTTTTTCAGCCTGTCTAGAGGCACTCGCCAAGGCTGCTCTTTGAGCCCTCTATTTTTTATAATTTGTCTAGAAACACTGGCTGTTAGTATCAGGAATAATGGGAGAATTAAGGGAGGAGAGGGTGGGGGACAGGAACATAAATTGTTTTCTATATGCTGATGATATTTTAGCTGTAGTGACAGACCCTGAGGCATCTTTACCACATCTGATGGATACTATTCAGTCCTACTCTAAACTGTCAGGATACGTAATTAATTGGAATAAATCCGAGGCTATGCCTATGACTGCCACATGCCACCACTACATGGTGGAAAAACTTAAATTTAAGAGGGTACCTCAAGGCATGAAGTGTCTTGGAATCAAACTCAGTCAAGACCTAGGAGAGATGCCCTCGTTAAACTTTAACCCGGTGTTGCAAAAAATTAGAACAAATTTGGAGAAGTGGCAAAAGATAAAACTTACTCTGTGGGGAAAAGTCAATATTATTATAATGATAGTAGCTCCTCAATTTAACTATTTAGTAATGATGCTTCCAATCATGATACCGCCTGCCATTTTTTTTATGATGATATAGTTAAACAGTTTTTATGGGATGGGAAAAGAGCAAGGATAAAACTAAGTAAACTCTGCGCCCCCAAGGAGAAAGGGGGATTAGGTTTACCAGCTCCAAGGTTATATCGGATATCTTTTGAAATGGCTAAACTAGCCAAATATTGGAAAACGACAGACAACAAGCAGGGTTGGATGGAGATTGAGAATGAGTTATGTTGACCATTTAGTGTCAAGGAGCAACTTTCTCAAGAAAGTAAAACAACAAATCCAGTTCTTGTGCACTCTAAGGAAGTGTGGGCCAAGGTACACAGAATGTATAAGTTGTCGCAATACGTACAGATATATGCTTCATTGAGGTTTGATCCTGCCATACATATTGGTAAAACGTCAGTGTATTGGAGGCAGTGGCGTTCAAGTGGTGTATGTACTATAGGAGACCTGTACAAAAATGGACAATTCATGTCTTATGAGGAATTATCGCGTCAATTTAAACTCAAAGGCAAACAACATTTTTGGAAATACTTACAAATCAGGGACTGTGTAAAATCTCAAATTGGTAATTGTTCAGAAAATTATATTTTGGAATATCTGAATGCGCCTGTGGAGGTGGGCGTGGTTTGCGCTCAGCTGCAGGAGAGAGAGGTGTGGGGAAGGCTTGGGAGAGCGGCACCAGGTGAGTTGATTACCTCACCTGCTGATGATTACCTGATGACGCTACCTTTATCTTTGCAGTAGTGTGCTGGACCTGGGGGAGATGCTGCCGGGAGTGCCACTGAGAGTCAGGGCCTAGGCTGCTGTTGTGCGTGGTATCAGTGGCGCTCTAAATAAAAGTATGTCAACTTCCGAGTTTGATTGCTTGTGTGCTGAGGGAACCCCGACTGTAGCCCAACGTGCTACAGCGCCACAGGAACGCTGCACAGCCTCACAATTTTATAGACTAACAAACCATTCAGTAAGTGGTGAGTCCTCTAATGTAAAATTGTTATGGCAGAGAGACCTGAGAATAACCTTTACACAGGAGAAATGGTTGGGTGTACTAGCAGACTGTGGAAAGTATGTAAGGGAAGCAAGAAGGAAGTTCACACAATATAAGATCATGCATAGATATTATCATACCCCTGTGAGATTACATAGAATGAAATTGATGAATGATAATATGTGTTGAAAGTGTAAAACTTTTCTTCACTGTGTATGGGAATGTGCATTAGTGAGTCCACTTTGGGTTAAAGTTGTGGACTTCCTGAGTAACTGGTCAGGTTCAGTGATTCCCCTGATTCCTGCTGTATGTTTACTAGGGGACAGATCACAAATACCGATGAAAGCTGCAGGCAGCGTTGGGCGGGACCTCGCACTCCACGCAACTCGGGGAGTGCTGCGGCCGCGTCATGGGCCGTCATAACACGTGCGGACCACAACATGAATATCTCGCGTAAATTAGCTCAAAATCGCCACGCAGTGCTCACTTCCTGTTGCCAGTAGGTGGCGCTATCGCTATGTCTGAATGTTGTCATGTAGACATGTTCAAGGCGAGAGTGTTATTAAACGTGAAGTTTCATTGAGATTGGACTGCGTACGCTGAAGTTATGAGCACTGTTTTATGGCGAATCTGCTGAAATTGACAAGTTGTCACTGGCACGCTGTTTAATGTACAGTCACAGCTCAACTTTTCAGTTTGTATGACGACAGAATTCAAAATGGCCAACTTTGACCTCACACCACAGACACGCCGTTCAACGTACAGTCTGAAATAGCACAACTTTTAATCAGCACCATTTTTTGACTGTACTGACCAATTTTGAAGTAGATCTGATAAATTCCCTAGGAGGACTTTGTTCAAATACAACGCGAAAAGTTTGCCGAAAGTGAAAATGAAAATCAAAATGGCCGACTTCCTGTGGGGTTTCAGGTATGGGTCCAAGAGGCTTTTTTGTACGTCCCAGCATGTTACACAACCCTACCGAGTTTCGTACATATCAGTGAAACGTGGCGCCGGGGCTGCTGTTTTTTTTCATGTAGGGGGCACTACACACACGACAAACAAGATTTTTGGTATGTGAGCTTCAGGCACCTCTCTACACGTACCCTGTGAATTTCATATTCATAACTATTACGGTCTCCGCACAGTGATTTATCATGCCACCAGAGCGCCACCTAGTGGCGGATTGTTGACACATTTTTTGTTTAGTGAGCCTCAGGGAGCCATGGGGAAGCATCGTACCAAGTTTCATCTTAATCATACATACTGTTTTAGAGATATAAACTTCTTCATTTTAAAGAGCGCCACCTGGTGGCGATGGCCTGAAGTTGTGCAGGATGCTTAAGGAAGACATGAGGAAGTATGGACCCAAGTTTGGTGTCAATTGGACAAACCAATGTGGAGAAATGGTCCACTTCCTTTTTTGATGAAAAATCCACAGGAAGTTGGAATTTTAGAACGTGCTGGTTTTTTAAAATATCAAAATTCTGTTAATCACTCTTTTATTATGAGGGTTCTCAGATGCTACGTGAACATTTATGTGTGAATCGGACAAAGTGCATGGGGGGAACACGGAAAAGTAGTTTATGGACATTTCGCGCTCTAGCGGAGAAGAATTATAGGCGGAAGTGGGCGTGGCCTATATGGGGAGATTCAGCTCCATTCACCGAACGCGTGGATTCGAGTTTTTTGAATGTGTGACAACCTTTGCAGAAGTACGCCACCTAGTGGCCAACCCGAAAGCGACGCATAGAATATACAATTTTTCACCAGGCCTGACCACTTTGCCAAATAAAATTGACTTTTCGTATATGTTCAGGGGGGCAAAAACGCAATCAAAAGTGCTAAAAATAATAAGGAAGAAGAAACAAATACAATAGGGACCTCCAGCGGTCGCTGGAGCGGTCCCTAAATATATCAAAAATAACTTTTTCTGTCATTATGGTGGGCTTGGTCACAGCCTCCAGAATTATCTGAAGACACTGGAGAATGGCGTCTCCTAATCTGAAAGACTGGACTAATTCAATGGTGGAGACAGCATCTTATGAGTCTATGCCCCACAAACTGTCGGCTAACAAGGAGGATGGGATGACCTCTTGGGATCTTTTTTGGACCTACACAAGGACTAATGAAAACTCAGCCTAAGAAATCAGAGACTAAATACAGCATAGCTTCTTTGTCTTTCTGTAGACTGGTTTCCCCTTATATTTCTTACTTTATTTTTCCTCTGTAACAGGTCATATGTTTATGCCAAGATTTCAAAATGTATGACCAACCCTGTACTCATATACTCTGCTATTAAGAATTCAATAAAAAATTTAAATGAGGAAAATAAAGAGTGAATTATTCAGTGTAGATTCTTCTTGTTATATGAAGGTTTTAAATGTGGAGCTCAACATTGCTCTGCCACAGTCAATGGACTAAACCACTGAAGAAGAAAACAGCCTTTAGCATTAAGATACTCAGTGTGGATCAGTATAATATCAGCCTTATGTCTGCACTTTACTGTCAGCACAACTTTCACATCACATTCATCTCAGCACAGAAAGAAAACATGGTGTCTGACCTCAGAGTCTCCAGTCTACAGTGTGGACTCTCCAGAAAACCACACAGCTTCACTCCTGAATCCTTCAGCTTGTTGTTACTCAGGTCCAGCTCTCTCAGATGGGAGGGGTTGGACTTCAGAGCTGAGCCCAGAGAAGAACAGCTGATCTCTGACAAACTGCAGTCACTCAATCTGAATAAAGAATAAAAGATGTAAGTTTAGAAGACAATGTTCCTGCTTGAAATCATTCAGTGTTTAATAATCTGTTCAGAGCTGAAGAAGGTGTGTGTGTGTGTGTGTGTGTGTGTGTGTGTGTGTGTGTGTGTGTGTGTGTGTGTGTGTGTGTGTGTGTGTGTGTGTGCAGGAGTTTAGCTAAGGCAGTCTCTGTGTCTGAGACCCGCACATTCACCACGCCACTGCCAGTGCAACAAAAATGCAATTCTTTCTTAATGCAGTGCAGCTGTTCACCTGTATTATTGAGGAAAATACAATTATTGTATCAGGACTCAGTATCAGCAGATACTAAAGGGGTGTCGGGGGTGGAAAAAAACGTGACATTTTTACTGTGGTACTGAATTGGTATAGAGAATTATTGAATTTCACTGGTATTGGTATCGACTTTTACATTTCTGGTATCATGCCTGTAAATATTAGGCTGCGTTCCATTAGTAGTTCCACTTCCCCTCGTTCACTTCCCCTCAGCCCTTGGTATGACGTAACAGCATACGTCGCACGGAGGCCACTTGGAGCGCGGAGGGAAAGTGGGCGGGGGAGGAGCAGGGGATTTAAATGAAACGCACTTGCCCTTGGAGTCTACTCATTGGCAGCGGTCAGCGTTATAGCGGCAATGACGTAAACTGCAATGCACTGTGGGCAGGGCCGCCTTAACCTAATGTTAGGCCCCGGGGCTGAGAGGTTTTGTAGGCCCCCCATCCCCTCGATTAATAGAGTCTCATTTTAAAAATGTGTAATATCTAGGTAATCTACATCATAAAATGCATTAGTTTCTTTCGAGACATACAACAGTGAGTTTTCCCTCTTTGAGCCAGAAAACACCATAATATTGTTATTAACATATCACTGAGCCCACTTGAGCATAAACACAAGACACTTTATTTAAAAACCACACACAGCAACTTATGGTGATAATAAAACCAAAATGTGCGAAAGTATGATTTCAAACGATATTATGAAAAACAACCCACACCAACCATCACCTGTCTGCACAAACATTGATAATAACTGATAACAGCATAAGCAAAGAACAGAAACAGATCAAAGTAGGAGCCTCTTCTCTGGCCTCAGCGGGCCCTGTGAACCAATCACATGCACCTGCACAGACAAACAAACACACTCCATTCAGCACCATGGATAGCAACATGGCCTAATGCCAGGTACCAAAAAGATGAGCCTGAGCAACATTTATAGAAGGTTTGCAGTATAAATGTGAATTTCTCTTAAAACAATGCACAACCACAACAATTTAAAACCTGCACAAGCTATAAATACAGCACTTTCTTACCTTTTAGAAGTGCTTTCGTCTGGTCTTCTTTAAAGAAAAGGCCCTAATTATGTCCTTAAAATCCAAATCACGAAGGATGTCATGCTCAATGGACATCAGTGTGAGATGACTGACTCGGTCTTGCTGCATGCTTGATCGCAGTCTGTTTTTCACCAAGCCCAGTTTGGAGAAGGACCGTTCTCCGCTCGCGTTGGTCACTGGCATAGTCAGGAATAGCCGTAGAGCTATGTCTGTGTTTGGAAACACTGTATGGAGTTTTCTTCCTCTTAAAAATTTCAGTAACTCCACTGCAGATGTGCTGCTCACATTTTCATCCTGTACAAATTCTCTGAACTGTACCACCTCCTCCACAAAGTCCTCTTCCAAGTCACTGTTGTATTTCCTCTGCAGGCTCAATGCTGCTGAACGGAGGTCTTGGGGGGAAATCAAGTGCAACCCATTTAAAAACCCGAAGTTTTCACACACATCTTTGTATGACTGGTACCTTCTGTCCAGTTCTGACACTAAACGGTCAATCATACAGATATACACAGATGTACAAAAGCGTTTGCGGCCTGATAGCTCGCACTCAGGCTCAGATGACTCATCAGCCTGTCTCTTTCTTTTTTTCTTTCGCTGGGTGTCTGCTTTGTACTCATTAGACACAATGGGGGACATGATCCTTGCAGCTGTCTCAAAGCTATCAAACTCATCCCGGAGGCCTGCTACATATTCACGCAATGAACGAACCAGATCCACAGCATTGCACAGATCCAATTCCACTGCTTGAAGTGCAATACTCACACCCTGGAAACGTTGAAGGATGGCATTCCACATGTTGGACATTAATGCAATTTCCAGTTTGTTCATCTTTTTGTGCAGTGCCCTAGCCTCCTCTCTTGTGCTCAAATTCTGGTGCTCATCATCAGCAATGTTGAGTAATGACTGCTGGATCCCTGCGTAGTTCTGACATAGGGCTTTAGTTGCGACAGCGTGCGCTGACCATCTTGTGTCAGAAAGCGATTTCAAAGTCTCTATTCTTTTATTATCATTGGGCTGCAACCCTGCCCTGATCATCTGCCAGCGTGAAGTGGTCTTTGATGAAAAGTTGAACAAAGCTTGTACAAAACTGAAAAACTGTTCAGTCTCCTCACAGCAGTTCACACTGTTGACCCCCACCAGGTTTAGGGTATGTGCTGCACAGGGTACCCACTGTGCCAATGAGTTGATCTGCTTGATGCGGGCCTGCACGCCTTTGTAGGCTCCTGACATATTATTAGCATTGTCATAACATTGTCCTCTACAGTTATTAATGTCAATGCCCATCTCCTCTAAAACACCAATGATTGAGTTGAACAGTGCTTCTCCCGTGTGGCTTTCAATAGGGAGGAACTTCACAAAGCGCTCTTCTATACAGCCCTCTGGTGATACGTACCGCAGGATGAAAGTCAGCTGGTCCACATGTGTGATATCTGGCGTGGAGTCCACACTGATAGCGAAATACTTTGCGAGTTTCACTCTGCTGATTACTTCCTCGAGCACTTTCTGTCCCATCAGCTGTATGAATTCCTCACACACATTCAGGGAGAGGTAGGATAGGGTTCCTCTGCCAGCGTTTCCATATTTTTCAATATGAGCCTTTAAAAAAGGATCAAACTGGCTGATCAGCTCCATGCACCCCAAATAATTGCCGTTGTGCGTGTCTCCAAACCTGTGGCTGTCACCCCTGAAAGCAAGTCCCCGTTCAGCCAAAAACTTCACAGCAGCAACAACTCTCTGTAGAACCTGTGTCCAGTATTCACACTCCTCATTGAACTGTTTTTTGAGTTCTGAGTCCACTGTCCCACTGTCAGCTGCTTGATTGATGTAAGCAATCATGGCAATCTTTTCTGTGAATGTCACAGCTTTCATGTTCTGCGATACGATCATGAGCATGTTTCCAGTCAAAATAACCCCCACTCACAAATGCTGACTTCTCCTTGTTCTCGCCAAATATTTTGCAGGCAAAACAAAACACTACCTGCTGATGGTGAATAACAGAGCCACTCTCTGGGCACACACTCTCCGTTACTGAGTTTGCGTTTGAAATGCATTTTTGAGAAAAATCTTCTCTGCTGTTTATATTGGCGTTCCGATGCCGACACGTCAGCATCTTTATTTTGACAGGACTCCGGTCCCATTTCCGCCCAATAAGCCCGCGCTTTTGTGTCAGTATTGTTTCCCCAGCGGCCCGGGTCACTGTTATATGGGTCATCTTCATCATCAGTTACAGGGAGAAGCTCTCCTCCTAACTGGTTTGCGGCCTGGTCCTCTCTCTGGGGCTCGTGTGCTCCGCCCTCCTCCTCCCCTCCATTGCTACGGGCGGTCCCCTGCTCCTCTTCAGCTACATCCACCTGCGCGGCCTGTGCGGCCTGCGCCTCCTCCACTCCCTCCGGTGTGTGGGATAGCCATCCTCCTCCGGTGCTGAGTCCATCTTCAGTAACAGAAGTAGCTGGTTTAAAAAATCCGGTGAGCTTTGGGATGTTTTTTAGCAGATCTTTTCGCGTAACTCCTTCTTTATAAGTTTTTTTCTTTTCTGGGCACCACTCTCAAACGTCCTCCCCGACATTTTCCACTTAATGTCACTCAATCATAGAGGGTCACACCCCAAAACTAACTATAGACATTCTGATAGGTAAGCCCACGGGCCATAGGCTATGGGGCCACGTGGGTCACTCCTAATTTGGCTCAATCAGCAACCATTTTGCTGACCTTTTATGGGAGGCCCCTGAACTTGGGAGGCCCCTGGGCTTCAGCCCAGGTAAGCCCGTGCATTAAAGCGGCCTTGATTGTGGGTGATATCCACCTCGGAGTGACCATCGTTGTTCACTCGCTCCCTCAGCCCTCCGAGGGTCCATCTCCAACCAAATGTTCACTTCAGTTTTCCAGACAATTGGAACGACACTTATGATGGCGGCGGGGATTCCCCGAGGGCAAGTGAATGATGGCATGCTGAACGACTGATGAAACG